TTAAATGAAAAAAAAAAAGCCAAAGTTTTGGTGACTATTTAAACACACATGGGTCATCTAAGGCTTTATAATCTTTCTAATATTACAAATATCTGTGGCCCAGCAATTTCATTTATACAGGAATACTCCCACATATATATGTGAATGTTAATATACAAGAATTGTATATATATTGACGGAGGCATTGTTTGTTGATTTAAAAAAACTTAAACAGCCAAATAAAGGGAACTGTTACATAAACTATGTTAATCTGTATTACGGAATCCAATCATTTGCTTAAAATAATAAAGCAGATTTTTACATGTTAACATGGCAACTTTTCTCTGATATATATTTTTAAAGGGGAACAAAGCACTTCACAGAACAAAAATATACGGAATGATTTCATTCGGGATGGATGGACATGTATGTATCACATAATGATACAAGTATAGAAGTTCACATTATTACTCAGCAATGACTACTTGGCTACTTTTGAGAAGGAGAGTAGAACAAGGTGGCAGTCCTGGTAGGAACATTGATGAGGGCCTTTTATTTTCTACCGTAAAAAACTTCATGGATTGATTTTATGCTACACTGAGCATGTCCTGGGTTGGTAAATTTTAAACCACTTTATGATGTAAAGCTATTAAGCTACCATCTCATGCCTTTCTTGATCTAGTGGCAGTGCATTTGTTTACTTCACATTGCCTTATTGCCATAAGCAAACATCAGCTGATGTCCTAGACTAAACCTCTACCGCATAACTTCACGTTCTTCATGTAGTAGCGGCATTCTCAAGTATGTCAGAGGAGTCCGCTGCAGTGGATTCCCATGTGTGCTGAATACCTCAGAAGTCAACAGGCTGGGGAAGCCACTTTACGTTTAAAGCAGATCCTGATGGCATCTCACTAACAGAGTGCTTCTCGCATGTTTACGGCATGTATGGATCACTCAGTGGCGTGGCTGACTGTTTACATCCTGTGCCAACTCAGCTGATATGTAATTAACATTATGTCTTGATAGCCTGCTGTTGTTTGCAGCAACTTCAAGTCATGATTCTGACACATCGACAACAAGTAGCGAACACTTTGATACAGGGCCAAAACAACATAGATGTCTACTTTAGTTCCCAGTGATGCCACACAGGAAGTGGTCTTCCTGAGCACAGACTCTTTATACCATCGCTCCCCGGCCATTTGTTTAACCTGGTAACACTGTTTTGTACCTCATGAAATTAATGATCCAGAGTGATGATTCATGTATCTCTTTGTCTTCAGAGCAACTGTAGCTGTGTGCATCAATTTAATCATAACAGTATGGCAGAGGAAATAAGAGCTTAGTCTTTACAGTTTGACAAAAATGGATTTGCTTGCCTCTACCACACACTAAACTGCATAATCCTGAGTAAATTCCATAACCCCTTTGAACACCAATTTTCTTATCTGTAATAAGAATACAGATACATGGGGATAATAACAATACCTACCCTCATAGACTTATTCTGAGAAGTAAATAATACAAAATATTGAAAGTGCTTTCCACAAATGCTTGCCACAAAGTAAATGTTTAATAAATATTAGCTATAGCAATAATTATGTTAATAGGTGAGTACTTCAGGAATTTTTGGATTTACCACAGAATATGCAATGCCTGGGACATACAGTTATTTAAATAGACATTGGCAGAATACGGAATGACGGAATAACTCAGTTTGGTTAAATCACAGTTTTAAAACTATTAAATGAGACTATTAATGTAATGAACTATAATAAAGGATCATAAGTACTTTACACTAATGATATCCTCTAAAACTAATACTAAAATATGGAACAAGCACAAGAAAAATAAATAAGAAATATATATGTAAGTTTAATTTTGGTAAGATTTCGAGCATAGTCTTCAAAATCACCGTTCTTTCAATTTGGCTTGAACCAAAATTTACCTTCATTACAAAATACAACCTCTCAGAAAGCCTTAAAATCAATTTATTGCTGTATATAACCATATCACCATCAGAATCTAAAAAGGACAAAGGTACATCTTACATAGGAGCTAAACAAACACTCAGTATTAACAAATAATTTGTTTTCCCATTTTTCAGCTCTGATTGAAATGTTTACATGAAAGTCTTTGAAAAGTCTTTTCATCCCAGTGGCTCCACAAGTGTTCACTTTGAACGACTTTGCAGCTGGCCAAACCTGACTCTCAATCAATTTTTATGAGTGCAAATTCTTGAACTGATGGCTGGATCTCCAGCTATATCACTCACATAATACAGACTCAAAAGTGGTGATGAGATTCACATTATCACCAGAGCACCATTCTGCTGATAGCAGCAGCAGACACACAGCAGGGGTCCACTGTCCTCCCCATGAAAACGATTCCTTCACCTTTCAATAATGTAGCCTGCAGGTATGGACCTACAAGCTGTGTGCGGATAGAATAAGAGCTGTCTTTAAAAATACTAATAAAAACTACCCAGTTCCTCCCAATGGGTCAGTCTCATTGAATCTCCATACATATCCATTTTGATTTTGAAGTATGTGCCTTCAATTTGTCTTCCCATTACAGTTGGAATTGAGTGGAAGATTCAATTGTGTTTTAAAACTTCAAAAAATTGTCAGAGTACTGGCATGTATATCTCAATACATTTGGGCATGGGATTCTCTGTGTGAGTGCATGGATGTGTATATGTGTACATATATGTATGTAAATATATAATGCTTAAACATGTCTTCAAATTTTAAGATGATAACTTAGGTAGAATAAATCCAAATTCATTATAGTTTGGTAGTGTTTTCCTAAATTTCAATTATGGAGCATATAGGTTTGCCTACTTTGATTTAAGTTAGATTTTGCCTTTTAGAATGTAAAACATATTTTTGTTATTGAAGGAACTTTTAGTTCCTCAAAGACATGGCTAATCTTCCCCAAAGACATACCAATAAACAATATCAAAGTATTGTTTCCTTCTTTCGTTTCTAAACTCTCTTATGGGTGATAATCAAAATATAAACGTTTGTCCTATAACTTTTGATTCTTATAATCGTATGCTAGAAAATAAGACAAAGGGCAAAGGATTACCTTGAACCTTACCTGGCCAAAAGCATGAGGTGATCATTTGACCTCTCAAAACTGATCTACAAAAGCCTAATTTTCATATTAAATCAATATATTAAAATTATTTTAGCCTACTGTCACTTAATCAGGTCTCCAGACTAACAACATTCTTTAAAACATAGTGACTAATGTGAATGACGTGTTGAATATTTGTGGTTACTGGGTTACATTTCCATGCTCTCTCATGCGTATTTCCACCAGGTAAACTCTAATAGTCAGCTGGGTTTGTTCCCAAACTAGTTTATGCCAATAATATCAGCTACTGAAATCATGAAACTAATGAGATTCTATATAAATACATAAGATATAACTGTAAAAGAAGCTGCTGTTTCTATGAAAATCAGTTGGATGCTTTAGAAAGACTTGATAGAGACAAATCACTAACACAAATTTGTCAAATTAGATGTTAATGAGACATTTATAAGATATAAATAAGATTTAAGTGTCCAGAAAGATCTACGCTCAAATTGCTTAGTAAATGCATTTAAATACTTGCACCAAGGTAAAGAAACTAAGCCTAGAAATTATAGAAGATGCCATAATGGTGTTTATTTTAGAGAATAGATCACACAGAACTCTAAGCAGGTGACCTTCACTCAAAGCAAATGCTTGGGCTCCATATCAAAACATTGAGAGAGTATGTGTATCTTTTATTAAATTAGACCAAATATTAGTTCTAACAACATAAGTTTAAATTTTAGGCAGGAAAAAATAAATAGGCTGGCTGTTTGCCATGTAGATAAAACTACTTTTGAATGAATTTTCACACTTTTCATGAAGTTACCATGCCATCATGGGACATCAATAAAGTAATTTTATCCGGCAATTGATGGATGGCTGTATGTATTTCTGGAAGACAGCAAATGATAATTTTCCTTCCTTGGCATTTCACCATGTCGTTCTGATCTAGCCCAGTTAAGCTTGCTTAATGTGTGATAGAAATCAATGAGATTTTACAGACTGTTTTATGTTAAGAATTCCAAGGGCGATTCTCTTTTCATGTATTTTCATCGGGAATAAAACAGCTTGGATTCATCATGGAGTGGAATGACTTACTTAGAAAGTTATTCTTTAATGTAAATTTAACTTAATGAGCATATTCTATAAGCAAAGGTTATACATGATTTACCAAAAAAGTCAGCCAAATCTGTTTATGTTCAGAATCCAATTATAAACAAATATCAAGTTGATGTAAAAACATATTTACATTACTAAATGATTTGTTGGCTTATTTGTATTAAATATGCCAAAATATATGGCAAATTTTATTAAATATTGCCTATTTGTATTAAATGCCAGTATATTTGCACTAAATATACCATTAAAGACAGATATGACATATTTATATTAAAATGAGTGATTATATGTATTATGGTTTATCTATAAAATATCAAAATGATGCAGCGGTTCTCCAGGTATAGTCCTGGAATCCCAGACATCTTCAAGATTGTTTCAGAGGGTCTTTAAGGTCAAAACTATTTTTATAACAATATTCAGAAGTTATTTGCCTTTTCACACTTACTCTCTCATGAGTGTACAGTGGAGTTTTTCAGAAGCTACATTTTATCTGATTCTGCAGCAAATTAATGCAGAAGCTGACACAAGAATAGAGTTATATTCTTTCTATTAATCCAGAGAGTAAAGAGGTATGCAAAAGCATAAAACGATGCCACATTTCCCTAAATCGCTTGTTCAGAAAATAGTTATTTTACATAAAAATGTTATTTGTGTTAACATGTAATGGATTTACTTTTACTTTAAAATAAATTAAATATTTAAAGAAATTTCTCAGTTTTAATTTCTAAAATAGCAAATATTGATAGATAAAACCCACATTAAAAAAATGTTTGGGAATCACTGTCTTAGAGTGATTATGTAATAGGAAGAAAACGACTAACCTGAACAAGAACAAAGTAACGTTTTTTCCATCTTTTCCAAACCTTCTGTCCAAGGGCATACAGATACCTGGTGAGAAAAACAAACAAGCAAAAGAACATTTTACACGAATAACCTTGTGGTTCTGAGTAATCACATTTCTTCTATAGGTATTCATTCTTGAGACCAGCCTGCTAAAGGCAAAGTTAAGTTCATTTGGAATCTGAGACAACATGCAGTTTCTGTGTTACAAAATGATTGAGCTTATTCTATGTTCTTGAAAGGGAATTGATTTATGTGGCTTATCAATTTGTCAGTCTTTACCATAAATTGAGTGAAGTAGGAGTTAGGAAGGATAATCAAAGAACCAGTTGGAATTTTATTCTTACACACATTTCTTAGGAGAGACAAAGGATACGAATTGAGGACATGGTTCTAAATGCTTCAGTTCTCAGATGACCAGCTGTGTGGCCTAAGAAGGAGCTGGCTGGAGAGTCAAGAACTCTAGGTTAAGGGTCACTGTCCAGCTGGGTGACCACAAGATGTGCCTGCACCAATCTGTTTCCATTTCCTAACCTATTAAATGAAAGGATGGATTTGCTTATTTCTAAGGTCTCCGCTAGCTCCGGGAGCTCTATCACTTTGGTATTTACCTGACTTATGAAAGTACTTCACTGCAAATATTTTAAACTATGAAATTCAGACAATAATAAAAATGGCAATGCATAGCTTAACATAGTTTCAACCGTAGTTTTAACTTTTTATTGACCTGAGTAAACTGAATTGAAATGATTAGTCAATCATTAGAGAATATTGTCCTTACTGAAGATATAGATGATGCACTGAAGTATCAGAAAGGAAAAAGAAGACATTAATCAATGAAGTGTGAACTTGTTGTAGAGAGCTATTAATTCTTTATAATTATGCCACAAAACTATACACACACTTCTTACAAAAGTGGAAAATATTGTTAGAAGTTTAAAATATGACAAACAGAAGCCTAATTTTAAAATTAAGGAATGATTTTTCAATATTTTATCATAATCCCCTTTTCTGAAGTGAAGGTTTAGCAGTGCAGAGGCTATTCAAACTAACGATTTATACGCAATATCGAGTGATCAAAAAAGAACATTATGGCTAACACAGTTTATTTAGGGGCTTAAGATAGCTAGACTTTCTCTCACAATTTTTAAGGCGAAAATCTTAGCTTGAATTTTTAGTTTCTGTCTTATTAAAATAATTCCCTTTTGCAAAACAAACATATTGTTTGCTTCCTTTAAAAACAGTAACATGGGATATTGGCTAAGCTATGGTGAAATGAATAGGCACTCTTACTCACTACTAGTGGGAGTATAACATGAGGCCACCTTTCTGTAGGATAACATGGCAATATGTAGAAATAGTCCTACCTTTTTATTCCGGAATTGGTTAAGGTAATAATCAGAGATGAACATAAAGATGTATACTATGTGCATACATATAACAGTGTTATTTATATTATTGAAAACTAATAATAATTTAAATGCCCAATACTAGGGGAACTATTTAATAAATCCTGGCATATTTACAGAAAGAAATACTATGCTGCCACTGAAATTGTGCTTTTGATAAAATCAGTAACATAGAGAATATCTCACTATATAATGTTATATGAAAAGAGCAAGATTCAAAATTATACACATACTTAATGATTTGGAATTTATAAAAAAAATCCCAAAATATTATTATAGCATCTTTGAGTGGTAAAATTATGACTGATTTAAGTTTCCTTCATTCCCTGTTTTCTAAATTTTCAGAATCAGAAAAAAACATGGGGTTACTAAAAGTCAAAATAAAAACAAAATTCTTGCATTGGAAAGCATCACCCAAATGGCCCAAACCAATTATATATTTTTTGTCAGATACATGAGCTAGCTGAAGTGTTTGGTGAACTTTTACTTAGTTCTCATGATACCCTTAATACCACCATCTGGGCTTGTGGATGTAATGTGAATTCATTTAATGACTGGCCAAGATGTCGACGTCTCTTATTCTCACCTGTTCACTGTTTCTTCTCAAGGTCCCCCTAAAACCCTTTGCCCCACCTTTGCTCTAACCTCTAATTTCTCTTCTATCATTCTAGTGATAGGTCTTTAGCTGCTCTCTTGCTGTCTTTCCTATGTAATTTCCCTCTCTTGAAATGCGCACACCCAAGCTCCTATTACAGGGTTAACAGCAGTGACCTCAGGAACTATATACTGTGGACACGACAGATGCCCTCTATGAAAGTGCACTAGCGAGATGTGCGCCAAATAGCTGCCTAGGAGCCACAGGGGACATTGGGAATAACCTTTGCCTGGGACCACAGCCTGCTTTTCAGATCTTCCAAAGTGTCTCACTTTGCAGACTGGGTTATACACAAGTGAAAGTGAACAGTGAAATGCAAATCATCAACATCACAAGTCAGCCAGTGCCAGTCTTGCTGACAGTGAAGGTCTTCCATAAGGAAGAATAGTCATCTGTATTATTCAAAATGACACATGAACAAATCTGGAATGAAGACATATAGTTTCTCTGAATACAGAAGCAGAAGGGTAGGTGGATGCACACATGTTGTATTTGGGGATTGGTAGAAGACGTTACAAAAAAGAGAATTTGGAACCGGAACCAAGGTGAACGTTTGAATGTTTGGCCTTGAAGTATTTTAGGCTGTGGCTGATGAAGAAAGAATTCATTCAAACACATTCAGAAATGACAAGTGACCAAACAAATCCAGAAAGTTACTGGTTTTAAGAGTTTTCCTGGCTTTCTGCCTAAGAAAAAAGAAATAATATTCAATAAAATATTAACAAATAATATTCAACAAAACTTAGAAAGTTATTCTTTAATGTAAATTTAACTTAATGAGCATATTCTATAAGCAAAGGTTATACATGATTTACCAAAAAAGTCAGCCAAATCT